ATCTCTGCAGACCTCCCTTTGTGGGCCACAGACCACCCACAGCCCTCCTTGCAGGCCGTAGACCACCCACAGCCCTCCTTGCAGGCCGCAGACCACTCACAGCCCTCCTTGTGGGCTGCAGACCACCCACAGCCCTCCTTGCGGGCCGAAGACCACCCACAGTCCCCCTTGCGGGATGCCGACCTCCTGGCCAGGTTTAAGACCATGCTGCAGCAGGAGCTTCACACCATTACCTCCAGACTAGCGACTCATCTCACCAAGGAAATTTGCAAATTGTGAAGCCACACTGATGTTCTTGAAGATCAGATGGACGCCGCGGCTACGGTGATCAAAAATCATGAACAGGACCTTTCTGAGAAGAGAGCTTGACACGGCTCTCTTGCACCTGGAATATTTTGAGAATAGGTCCCGTCGGGGTAATCTTTGCCTGCGTGGTCTGCCCGAAGCCATCGTTGACTTCACGTCCACTGCTACTGCTACTTTTCAAGAGTTGGATCCGGCGATACTGATAGACCATCTGGAGTTAGAACGCATTCAGCGGGCCCTGGGTCCGAGGAGGTCTGAGGGTCCTCCCAGGGACATCATAATTAAATTCACCTATTACCATACAAAAGAATTGCTCCTTTGCTCTGCGCGAGACAAACAGGATCTTCGTGGATCTGGCACCATCCACCATACAGAAACGTCGACAGATGAAACCCTTCACGTCAGTCCTCTTGAACCGTCACATCAAGTACCAATGGGGCTTATCATTTAAGCTTACGTTTGCGTACCAAGGTCGGAGCCATGTTGTCCACAATCTGGAAGAGGCCAAGTCGACCCTGGAGGCGCTACACCTTCTGCCCTCGCGGGATACCTCCGACAGCCCAGTCTTTCATCTCAGCTGGGGCGTATATGGGAGAAAGTTGGTAGCTGTAAACGCTCCCTCCCTAGTACCCCTTCGTTGCCAAGGTTGAGTACGGTTGGATGGGTAAGATTTTTCACTTTTCAGATGGCTTGATCCACTGCCATGACTCTCCACGTTTCTGATGGGGCGGAGACCTTGACTGGCCCTTGTTGGGTGAACTTTTCGTATGTATTTGTATGTTGCTTATTTTTAGTTTTACAGTTTGAAATATTCTTCTATGCAATACTGGTCTGTACTGGCTCGTTACCCGCCGGCTCCTCATGGTCCAGTTGAATTTTTCATTTTTTTTCCCACTAATTTTTTTGTTATACTTGGATTTTGGTTCTGTGGATTCCTGGCACCCGCTGGCTCCTTTGGGTTTTTTTTTTTTCGCTAATTTCTTTGTTATACTTGGATTTTAGTTATGTGGATCCCTGGCTCCCGCCGGCTCCTTTGTTTTTGTTTTTTTTTCTTGGGGGGTGTTATTGTACCTCTTTATATATACCGGGGGCCCTCCCCGGCTCATGGTCCTATATGATAGGATTGGTGCCGGCTTCCGATCTAATGGGGCCGTGACCCGGGAATGCCTCATTTCTATTTTGCTGATATGTCTGTGTACCTGTTTACATTTTCTTTATATATTATGCTGTCATATTATGCATTCTTAAGGTACTGTACTTGACGTTGTCTTTTTGCCTGTTATGTTCCCCCCCCCTTTTTTTTCCCTCCTCCCTTCCCCTTTTCTCTCTCCTTTTCCTTCCCCTTCCCCCCCCTTTCTTCCCCTCCCCATGAAGGTTCTTTTTGTATTATGTTGTTTATGATGCACCCATGTGCCCGGTGGTAGAGCCACCCCCTATGTGTGTCCTTACGGTTGGGATCCAATTTCCACTGATTGTGGTTTTGTTACACCACCTTAGAGTGTACATTTTCTTCTTCTGTCTCTTGTTTCTTGTCTGGTTTTTTTTTTCTCTTTTTTCACGGATCCGGGGCAGCCCAGGGTAAGGTTGCTTTTGAGGATTGGACCGTTATTCCTAGCGTACTTTGGCAGCTGAATTCCCTGGACTCAGTATGGCTTTAAAGATCTTTTTTCAAAATATCCAAGATGTGGACGTAGTCTGCCTGCAGGAGACAAGGTTTTCTCAATCCTCTGTGCCGCGCTACCTCTTCCACCATTATCCGACCTTTTTCTCTGCTTCGGCCCTTGAGAAGCATAGGGGCGTGGTGATTGCTTTTAAACGCAATCTGCTGTTTACTTGCAACCTGGAAATAGCTGACCCCACTGGTAGGTATTTGCTCCTCCGGGGTACCCTTTGGTACCAGGAGGTGACCCTGGTGGGGTATTACCTGCCAAGTAGATTTCAACACAAATTTTTTTCTCACTTGCTGAAGGTGATTTCTCACCACCAACGTGGTATCCTCTTATTGCTTTGTGATTTGAATATTGCTTTTAATTCCTATGTCGATTTCCATTACCTGATGGGAGGGACCCCTAGCCACGACCTTTCTCAGGAATCTAAATTGCGTGATACGCTGTAAGCTTATGGTTTGGTTGATGTCTGGCGGGAAATGCATCCTACGTTGCGGGAATACACTTTTTATTTGGCCCCACACTTTAGCTTTTGTAGAATAGGTCACGTTTTCATCTCCTTCCAACATTTATCTTTAATTCAAAAGATTGTCATCTCGACCTCCCACTGGGCTGATCATGACCCATTAGTCTTTCTGGTATGGATCTGCCCTCTTTTCTGTGGAGACTCAATGAATCCCTGCTCACCACTCAGGCCTCTTGCTCTCAGGTTCTTTCGCACATTCAATCCTATTTTACGGACACTGTGGGTTCTGTATCCTCAGCCGTTTCTCTGTGGGAGGCTCACAAAGCCACCATTAGGGGTCATTTGATTCAAATCGCCTCGTCCAGGAAATGAGCCAGAGAGAAGAGGATGCTGGAATTGACCTCGAGATTGGCCGTGGTAGACGCTACTTGGAAAGCCTGCCCAACTACAGCCAATAGGAAAGCTTGAGATGTGGTGGCTGCTGAACTTGATCTTCTCTCCACTATACGAGCTGAGAAGGCCTTACATTGGGCCGGACATAGGTTTTATACATGCGCCAATAAACCGGGGCCAATGTTGGCCAAGAAACTTAATTCACTTGGTCGCACGCATAAACCTATTAACCTGTGAAGATTACTCATAGATTTGCAGATTTTTTGTCCTCTCTTTACCAAAAAACCGAACACCTTTGTCGCTAAACATGCTGATAACTTTTTTGCTGAGCTAAACCTACCCTCTTTATCCGTTGCAGCCCAAGATGCCCTGAATGCAGATATCTCTGAATTTGAACTCTACCAAGCCATCAAATCTTTGAAGGCCTCCAAGGCTCCAGGCCCAGATGGGTTTTCTGGGCTCTACTATAAAAAATTTGCCATCGTTCTGGTTCCTCATTTGACGGCCTTTTTCAATTCTTTGAAGCAGGGTTCCGGCTTTCTTTTGGAGTCTCTTCAGGTGCATATTACTATGATCCCTAAGAAACCTGAAGATGCTTTTGAACCGCAAGCTTTCAGACCGATCTCACTGCTAAATGTGGACTTGAAGATTTTGGGAAAGGTTCTGAGCACCTGAATTAATAAGTATCTACTCTCTCTTATTCATCGAGATCAGGTTGGCTTTGTTCCGGGGCGACAAGCTGCTGATAACATCCGTAAAGTCCTTAATCTCATTCATATTTTACATCGCCGCAGGATACCAGGGTTCCTTTTATCCCTAGACATTTATAAAGCGTTCGATTCACTTTCTTGGGAATATTTGACATATTCGCTGTCTAGGTGGGGTTTGGTGACACATTTCTGGCTTGGATGTCGGCTTAATATTCGTCTCCCTTGGCCTCTGTTAAATAGGCAGGTTTTTTTTTATTAATCCTTCCCCATTTTCAGGGGCACAAGACAGGGATGCCCATTATCACCTGCTCTTTTTGTTCTCGCTCTTGAACCTTTAGCTGCAGCCATTCGAAATCCCCCGGATATTTCTGGTGTCCCCTATGCTCAATACAAGGCCAACTTTTATGCGGATGATGCCCTTTTGGTTTTAACCAATCCTCTCATCACTCTCCCCAATCTCCAGGTTATATTGGACCACTTTTGGACTATATATGGCCTTCGCATCAATTTGTCTAAAACCAAGGCATTGAATATTACGCTCCCTGCTGACCTGGTTGAACGGTTGCAGACGCAATTTCCCTACCGTTGGGCATCCCATTCTCTGGCTTATCTTGGCGTTACACTTACTTTCTCCTACTCTGCCTTATTTTTGTCTAATTATTACCCCTTATTGCGCTCTGTTACTTCCCTGCTTCATTCTTGGCAGTTTCCTTCTATATCATGCATTGGCCGGATACATGCTGTCAAGATGACTATCTTGCTGAAGATCCTGTACTTTGTCCATACTCTCCCTATTCATGTCCCTGCATCTTTACTTCGTGTACTACAGAGCCGGATTCTCAGTTTTATTTTGGCTCATAAACATCCCAGAGTGCCTAGAGCAGCAGTTCTCAACCTGTGGGTCGTGACCCCTTCGGGGGTCAAACAACCTTTTCACAGGGGTCTCCTAAGACCATCGGAAAACACATATTTCCGATGGTCTTAGGAACCGAGACATCAGTCTCCAGGTGGGTCCGCCCACATGCAGATACGTCCACATTTCCCTGGACCGCGATGTGTGCGTGGGATGACATGCCGTCCCTGTCATCTGGCCACATCCCCGGGATCACTCAACAGCTCCGCCTCCTCGCCAGTGATTGGCCGCCGTAACTGTAGCTCAGGAGAGGCACACAGGCGGCCAATCACAGATGAGGAGGTGGAGCTTGGAGAGGAGGAGCCGAGCAGCAGCGTGAAGAGCAAAGAAGATCGAGCGAGGGAGCGGCTGGAGAAGGAAAACAGCTGACAGGTAAGCATCTGTAGCGTGCAGATGGTGCTGCTGCAGCCAGGTATGCTGGCTGTAGATGGGAGAGGGAGGGAGCCAGCCAGGCTGGAGCAGGAGTCAGCAAGGTAAGTATCATTGGTGTCAGTGGGAGGAATAGTGCCCCATCATTGGTGTCATTAATACCAATGATGGGGCACTATTCCTCCCACTGACACCAATGATGGGGCACTATTTCCCCCCCCCCCCACTGACACCAGCGATGGAGAACTATTCCTCCCCCCACTGACACCAACGATGGGGCACTGTTCCTCCCCCCACTGACACCAACGATGGGGCAATATCCCCCCCACTGACACCAATGATGGGGCACTATCCCCCCCCACTGACACCCCCACTATTGATGGGGCACTATTCCCCCCCAATGATGGGGCACTATTTCCTCCCCCACCACTGACACCAGCGATGGGGAACTATTCCTCCCCCCACTGACACCAACGATGGGGCACTGTTCCTCCCCCCACTGACACCAACGATGGGGCACTATCCCCCCCCACTGACACCAATGATGGGGCACAATTCCCCCCCACACTAGTATCAATGATGGGGCACTATGCCCCCCCCCTACTGACACCAATGATGGGGCACTATTCCTCCCACACTGACACCAATGATGGGGCACTATTCCCCCCACTGACACCAATGATGGGGCACTATTCCCCCCACTGACACCAACAATGTGGCACTATTCCTCCCACTGATACCAATGATGGGACACTATTCCTCCCACTGACATCAGTGATGAGGCACTACTCCTCTCACTGACACCAATGATGTGGCACTACTCCTCCCACTGCAAAATTACAGTTATGAAGTAGCAACGAAAATAATTTTATGGTTGGGGGTCACCACAACATGAGGAACTGTATTAAAGGGTCGTGGCATTAGGAAGGTTGAGAACCACTGGCCTAGAGCCACACTGTATACTCATAGATTACAGGGAGGTTTGGGAGTTCCACACGTTTCTAGATACTACTTGGCAGCTCAGATTTCCCAGTTGTCTATGCTTCATGCCACGACAGATATCCCATTATGGGTACTCTTGGAATTGCCCAACTCTGCTCCGCTTTCATTAACTACAATGCTTTGGCTCCCACCTAAGTTGCTCACTCCGGATTTTAGCCCTATCATGCTTCACAGTTTACGAACCTGGGATTCTGTAAAATATTCAGGTAATTTGATTTCGCCATATCTACCTCTTTTGCCGATTATGCATAATCCTTTATTTCCGCCAGGCCTAGCACATCCCCCTTGTCAAGGATCCGGATATGACCAGAGATGTGTGAACTGACACAGGGAATAGCAGACTGCAGGAATGATGTAATAATATAATTTATTAAGAGCTTACACCAATACACAGAAACGCACCGTGCAACCAAAAACCAAACCTTAAAACTAATAACTAGATGCTCAGGAACACAGGCGTAGACAGAGCTGGAGAAGTAGAATGGTCAGGCAGGCCGGGTCAGGATCAATTGGGCGGATAAGGTACAAAAGGAGCAGGCAGGAATAGCCAGGATCGGTGCAGGCGGAAGTCAGAGTCAAGTCAGAGTCAAGCAGGGGAATCAGGCAGGTAGACAAAAGGATGTAGATACAGGGCTCATGGGAAAACACCAAGGCACTGATTGCAGGCCTGGTACGGCTTAAATACACCTCCTGCAATCAGCCTCAGGTGATGGCTTGATTGCAGGAGTGAGATCCTGGCTGCTGAAAGCACCCACTGGCAAGCACCGGTACTGCAGCCCACACGGCAGATGAGCCCCAGCACCACCAGCGGTGAGTTCTTTCCTGACACCCCTTTTCTCTTGGTGGACCTCCCATGGCTTTGTTATTGTACATGATTTTCTGAGTGCTCGTACGTTTCCATCATGGGAGTCTCTTCGGGAATCAAGGGGGGTCCCGCCACAGGAATATTATCAGTATTTGCAATTGCGCCACTGGGTCCTATCCCTCCTTCGTACCTCTACATACCCTTACTGCAAAACGCCCTTTGAACACGCCTATCAGCATTCCCCAGGGTCCCCTGGTCTCATTTTTGTAATTTATGCCTCCCTTAACAGTAGGTCCTCCTCACCACCTCTGTCTTATGTCTCTCAATGGGAGAGAGATCTGGTTGTCTTGATTGCGTAGGGCCCGGGGGATGGTGGCGAAATGTTCATTCAATACAGTCACTCTTGAAGCAGCCTACAAAGTTCTACTGCGGTGGTACTGGGTCCTGTGACGAACGCGGCGTCAGACCCCTGACCTTCTCACCAAACTCGTGATCGAAGGACTGGCCAATCTAAAGCCGCAATGTCACGTGCGTAACAATGCACGCCCAGCTGCACCCTGCACAACGATTTTCCAGCTCACTGGACCTCCAATCGTACCAGCAGCCTGAATGCGATTGTTACTGGGTCAGGTTAATTACGCAATTAACCCTTCACACTGCCATCACCTCCTTTTTGTACAGAGAAAGGGGAAACTCAGCGATATCAGCTATAACACTGTAATGGTTGAGGTAATCGTCTGTATAACACGGTCACCGCAAGCCGGTTATACAGACAGTTGTTCTAGCTTCCACCCCCAACACACGAAACGTGCCATCATACACAGTTAGGCTATTAGATACCACCGAATATGTTCTGACCCAAGAGACAGAGATAAACATCTCGAGACACTAGCAGACTCCTTCCATAAGAAAGGTTACAAGGACAAATCTATCAACAACAGCATAAACACAGCCTTGAGAACCCGAAGGGAAAATCTACTTCAGTACAAGGAGGAAAAAAAACAAACAACCGTGTACCTCTAGTAACCACATACAACCCAGCACTAGAAGGAATAAGAAAAATAATCAAAGATTTACAACCCATCATAACAGAGGATGGAACTCTGAAAGAAATATTCCAGCAACCACCAATACTAGCTTTCAAACAACCCCCCAACCTCAGAAATAAACTAATCAGTAGGAAACTTCCTTCTGATTATGATGTCACAAATAATGGAAGCAAACCCTGCAATAAGAAACGCTGCAAACTGTGCAACCAAATCAATCCATCAAAAAGTGTCAGACACTTAAAAAGGATCTTCAATATCTCCTACTCATACAGTTGCACCTCTAGTAATGTTGTGTACCTTATCCAGTGCAGAAAATGTAGCAAAGGATCTTATGTTGGCGAAACAGGACAGAAGTTGCAAACAAGGATGAATTTGCACAGACATACCATCAAGGAACATAAAAAAGATGACCTTTGCACACCTGTGGGACACCATTTCACACAACCAGACCACACTTTGGGAGACCTCAATATTTTAGTTCTTAAAGGAAATTTCAAATCCATTCAGGAAAGAAAAACTTTTGAACTAAGAATGATAATCCTATTTGACACAAGAGATAACGGCCTGAATTTGGACATGGGATTCCTCAATCATTATCCAACAGTTTTATGACTATCAGCTCGAGCATGACTGCCTCTGCTAGTGTTGTCTTCCAACCCCCCCCCCCCCCAGACTTTGCTTTTGCTGTGCCTTATCTCTGGGGTTTTCATTTCCCATCCCCTACATCTCTTCTAACATTCTGCTAAATCTTTGTTTCAGTACTGCTTAGACCTGAAGAAGGGGACATTCCCCGAAAGCTTGTCCTCAAAATTGTATGTTAGTGCAAATAAAAAAAGTATTACAGACAGTACTCAATTGTTACAGAGGGTTAAACAAACACAGTAGCGCTCTTTTAAAGGCAGGAATTCGTAAATTGCAATAAAGAGCTATAGAAACAGTTCAACACTTTCAGAAGGAAAGATTTATTACTAAAAGGTCAAAAGGGTGCAATAAAAATATTTACAGAAAAAGATGTAACCAATATATATATAAATATACAGAGAGCAACAGCACAGCAAAGAGATAATAGAGAGAAGTTAGAGGGTTAAAGTACTTGCCAAAGTCCTGGGTTAGCAGATCAAGTTTCAGAGCGAAAGGGCGGTCTCCCAAGTTGGTTCTGATGTTAAACGGGAGAATTCTTCAACTTTACTTTCTTAGGCCTGACAACCCATTTTGTAGTTCCCCAGCAGGGGGTGTCTCTGAAGTCATGGACCAATACCCCGTTTAGGGCGGGATCGTCTGGGCGTAGGCCTAAACTAGAGCCAAAATCTCTTGAAGTTCATATTTTGGCTCATAACTTTCCATAAACACAAGTGACATTCCACCCGCGGGTAGATTATTATGCAGACACATCTGAGGAATGATTAGATATGAAATTATACACTGAATGATTCAAGAGATCTACTTTTCTGCTTTCTTATTTCTTAAGGAGAGTGACCTATCAAACTGTTTGTCTCCTCGTGGCCAATTTGAATATATGCCTGGTTTTTATGTAAGTCTCTCATATTCCAAGATATGAGACACAGGGAAAAAATGGATTTTAAAAGTGTTATCTGGTTCCTGTGCTTCCTTGGAATGCCTTTGAACTCCTGGGAAGGCTTGTGTTATCTTTTACTAGGTGTTATATTGCACAGCTCTCTCAGACAACCAGGAACCTCGGGGTTCCCTGCTGGGCTCTGGCTTGCCTGGGACACTTTCAACACCCACACCAACCAGATGTCACTGTGGCTCTCAGAGAGGGAGGGGGGAGAATGAGGGACAACATGGAGATTTCTTGACAAAATGGAGGGCCTCTGGTGTGCACGATTGCGGCAGGTCCCGGCTCGGACTGCTCACTTTAATCCGACTGGCGGAGATAGGCGTTTCTGTAACTGTGGTCTACGCGGAGATGTCTTGCACATTTGGTGGTCATGCCCACGATTGATAGGCTTCTGGTCTAGGGTTTTCGGTTTGCTACAAACGCTATTTCATATTACGGTGCATAGGGATGCAAAGGTGGCCCTCCTGCATTGTCCAATTTTGGGTTTGTCTAGGTCTCAGTAGAAATTGGCATCCTACCTATTTATTTTGGCCAAACGTGCTATAGCTCAAGCTTGGAGAACCCCTTCGGTTTTCTTCCAGACTCGGATGAATGCTATATTGTTCAATGAACAGATGTCTAGCAGTCTTCATGATTCTCATCCAAGATTCCTTAAGGTTTGGGAACCTTGGATACGTTATTCCTTACCATCTCTGCCTCCTACTAGTTATGGCCTCCTATAGTTGCTGCCTGTGCTAGCCCTGGATCCGTGATCCTTCTAGTTCCCCTTCTTTTATGTTTTATTTCTGATTCCCTTTTTTGTTTTATTTTCTTTTTCCTTTCTTCTAATCTTTTTTCTTTCCTCTTTTTTTTTCCAATATTATGTTGGATTACTGCTGCTATTTGGTTCGGCTTTTTACTGTCCCTCCTTGATGTGATTGGACATCTTGTTATTTGACTAATACAAGTCAGCAGGATGTCTCTGTTTATGTTATTGTTCTGCTCTGCCCCTGCATGGGCGTATTTTGAGCTTGTTGTATTCTTAAAATAAAACTTTCTTAATAAAAATATTGAAATAGAAAATGAACAAAGTCCAATAATTATGTTGACTATTGTAAGGGGGTGTGGTGTAAATAGCCACTATCCCCTTAGCTGTAACATCTTCAAAGGTTGACACAAGGGAAAGGCTTAACCATTGTATAGTAAAAGACACACAACTCTGAAACTCTGAACACATGCCAAACACGAATAGCTGGGAAGCTCCTCTAAGATAGGCTCTCTCACACCTTTGCTAGTGTATTTTGGGGGCACATATCCTGCAGCATTAGTTCATTTGAAATTAGGCAGAAGTTTCTTTCCTTCATGCATTTGTAGCATTAAGGCCCAAAAAAGACTGCTTGGCA